AATAAACTGGAGTCATCCAATGCATGGATTGAAGAAGCAGAAAGGAGAATAAGTGATTTAGAAGACACAATTATAGAAAAAGAAGAAACTGAGAAAAAGAGAGATAAACTAATCCAGGAACATGAAAGAAGAGTTCGAGAGCTCAGTGATACAATCAATCGGAACAATATCCGTATCATAGGAATTCCAGAAGAGGAAGAGAGAGGGAAAGGTGCTGAAGGAGTCCTGGAACAAATTATAGCAGAGAACTTCCCCAACCTGGGGAGGGAAGTAGACGTTGAAATTCAGGAGGCACAGAGAACTCCCCTCAGACGTAACTTAAATCGATCTTCTGCACGACATATCATAGTGAAACTGGCAAAATAGAAGGACAAAGAGAGAATTCTAAAAGCAGCTAGGGAGAAAAGGGCCTAACATACAAAGGGAAACCTATCAGAGTGGTGACAGACCTATCTACTGAAACTTGGCAGGCCAGAAAGGAATGGCAGGAGATCTTCAATGTGATGAACAGAAAAAAAATATGCGGCCAAGAATCCTCTATCCAGCATTCAGAATAGAAGGAGAGATAAAAGTCTTTCCAAATAAACAAACATTGAAAGAATTTGTCACCACTAAACCAGCCCTACAAGAAATCCTGGGGGGACTCTCTGAGGGAAGTGTTGCAAGGAATGCAAGATACCAGAGACACCACCACAAGCATGAATCCCACAAAGGACACAATGACTCTAAACCCATATATTTCAATAATAACACTGAATGTAAATGGGCTGAATGCTCCAATCAAAAGACATGAGTAGCAGAATGGATTAAAAAAAAAAACAAAATCCATATATTTGGTATCTACAAAATACACATTTTAGACTGGAAGATACCTTCAGATTGAAAGTAAGGGGATGGAGAAATATCTATCATGCTACGGGAAGTTAAAAGAAAGCTGGAGTAGCTATACTTATATCAGACAAACTGGACGTATAGGAGGATTAGGAGGAACTTAACGGAGGACCGTGGGGAGAAGAAGGGGGGAAATAGTGGGGGAGAGGGAGAGAGGCAAAGCATGAGAGACTCTTGAATGCTGAGAACAAACTGAGAAATGATGGGTGTGGGGGGGGAGTTGGGCATGGAGGAGGGAACTTGTGGGGATGAGCACTGGGTGTTATATGGAAACCAACTTGACAATAAACTATTTGTAAAAAAAAAATTAAAAATAGAGCTATCAAATGATCCAGCAATTCTATTTCTGTGTATATATCAAAAGGAATTGAAATCAAGATCTTAAAGAGCCATCTGAAGTTCACTGTAGCATTATTCACAATAGCCAAGACATGGATGCAACCTAAATCTTCACTGATAGATGAATGGATAAAGGAAATACGGCACATGCATGCAATGGGATATTATTCAGCCTGAAAAAGAAGGAAACCTTGCCATTTGCAACAAAAGAGATGAACGTGGAAGACATTATCTTAAGTGGAATAAACCAGACACATAAGGACAGATCCATATTATGTAAGGAATCTAAAATAGTCAAACTGATAGAAGCAGAATAGTATGCTGGTTGCCAGATGCTGTGAGGACTGGTATTAGAGAGGTGTTGGCCAAAGGGTAGAGTTCCGGTTTTATAAGGTGAAAAAGCCCTAGAAATGTATAGCATAGAGTCTTTAGTTAACAATGTCATACTGGATATTTAAAAAGTTGCTGAGAGGGTAAATGTTATGTTGTTATTGTACTCCTAAAAACTAAAAGAGGACAAGAGAACACTGTTGGAGGTAATGGATATGATTATGGCATAGATTGTTATGGTAGTTCATGGGTGTATACTTATCTCCAAGCTTGTATACGTTAAATGTGTACAGCTTTTGGTATGCTAGTGATACTCATCACAGTAGTTTTTGAAGAAGGAGAGATTTTGTCTTATTTGAAGTTGTAGTCTCAGCACAGTGCCTAGTATACAGTAGGCATTTGTAAATATTTAATCATTAAAGAAAAAATAAGTATAAATAAGGAAAAGATTGTCAATTCTTGGCTTGCCTAATTCCTTCTCGTGTTTCTTTTTATAAAAGTAAAAGGTATATACCTGGATTTGTTTAGATTATTCAAGTATGTAAAAGAGAAATTAAATCTTGATGAGCTAGACCTCAAGCTCACTCTCTTATTTCCAGTCATTAATTGAGAATGAGCTCTTTGGAAGGCTTTAGGCTATTACTGGGAATGCTTTTGTTTATTTGTTTTTGTTTTCAGATGTTTATTTTTGAGAGAGAGAGAGAAAGAAAGAAAGAGAAGGAAGGAAGAGAAGGAGGGAGGGAGGGAAGAAAGAAAGCAAGAAAATAAAAAAGAAAAGTGTAGGGGAGTGGCAGAGAGAGGGAGACAGAGAATCCAAAGCTGTCTCTGCACTGACAGCAGAAAGCCTGATGGAGCGCTCAAACTCAGGAGCTGTGAGATCTTGACCTGAACTGAAGTCAGACGCTTAATGGACTGAGCCATCCATGTGCCCCCTGGGGATGCTTTAAAAACAACAACAACACTCAGAACAGCAACAATAAGTTCTAGCCCCTACCCATTGAATTTCAGAGTCTGGATGCTGGTATAGTATAAAAAGAGATGGTGATATATTCATTGTGACCTAAAGAACAAGTAAAAAAAGAGGAGGAGGTTGAAGAGAGAGGCAGGTTTGAGCTGAAAGCAATCCAGTGTCAAAGTCCTCACGCAAGGCCGTGTGGAACCTTGGGAAACTGCAAACCCTTCATTGAGGGATAATTTTAAGTAGGATTGCATGGTGGGCTAGATGAGGCTGTGGGAGTGGTGAGCCGGGCCCAGATGCTCAGATGGAGGGCCTTGGAAAAGACTAAACCTGCAATGGAAATGTGTCCTTAACATGTCTTTTGTGATGGTGGCTAAACCCAGGAAAATCTCCAGGTGGTATAGGAGTGGAAGGTGTCTGTGCTCTTGCCCAGGGCAGCTGAACACGGTGCACAGACTAGATCATCTGTGTATATCACAAGGGAGTTTCTGAGCAATAAGGGTTATACTTCTTTAAGGTGGAGAGTCCAGAACCCACTGGACTGGTACTCTTCACTCTGGATTGGGGGAGCCAGAGGCCACTCTTATCAAAGAGGTCTCTTTTACTCAATTAATTCATCTTGCACATAATCTGGCAAACTGTAGGCAGGGTTTAGATTTTCGCTGATGGTTAAATGAGTGAAAAAAAATGGTGATTTAGATGGAAAGGCAGCTGGAAGTTAGGGAAAATATTGATCATTGACAAAAATTTTGACAATTTTGAACTGTATCCAACTGGGAAAGGCTCTCCCGCAAATACATAGTATATTATAACCTTGAATGAGGATGTATTACATAACTAGCATTGCTAAGCAGCATTTTGGTTGATTGTGATTTCTTTGTCTTGGAATTTGTTAATGCACTCGAGGTCACAGGGCTACCAAGTGACAAGGCTGGGGCTAGACTCCTGGTCTGAATTCCTCTAGAATGCATGCTGATCATTCCACTTTTCTCTGCCTAAAGCAAATCTTTGTGTACCTTAATACTCCAAAATGTATCTCAGGGGGTAAAAATAAGGATTCTGTGTCCAAAGAACTGGATTGGAATACATAGCCAAAGCAGTTAAGAATACCACAGGAAATCCAGGCATGAACGAAGAGGAGAGGCAGAAAATGTCCAGTTGACAGTATGATTATCTACATATGCAATGTCAAATAACCTCAAGATTGGGGAATCACAAAGCCATCCTGGACAATTCCTTCTCATTAGGAAGTAAATCAATTAAAACAAATCACATAAGAGGCTCACTCTGACTACTGAGAAGAGGGATAGATCAGTGTCATTTTTCTTTGATGGCCCCCCTCTGTCCTGCATCCTCTGCCTTAGGTCACAGCTTCCCCATTTCACATGAAGCAAGGGACCAGAACCTGCAAACTTTGCATTAGGGACACTGTTCAAGTTTGCATGGATGTGTAGTTTCCCAGGAATCCTTTAATTTGAGAGACTGGACCCCCATGAATGAAGACTGGGGAGAGAACCACCCCACCTTATAGAGAGGGTCTTTCAGAGACCTGCCGAACCAGCTCTCAGGCCTAGAATGCCCAGGGCAGTCAGGGTGGGCATCCCTCTTTCATTCCCTCATAGTTCTTAGCAAGGTCAAAGTCTTAGCCTAAGGAGATTGGCCACACTTCAGTAGAGGGAGGCTCCTGGTTTGGATAGGTATCAAGTTGAGGACCCTGGATGATGAATGTAGAGACCACCAACTCTAGGACAGTGGTATTCCACAGAGACTCAATTCTGCCATTTCTCAGGACCCAAACATCCTTGGCCTGGTGTGGCTCGCTCTTCCACCTGGGAGGTCTCAGGAAGGAGCAGTCCTTGATCTGAGCAAAGTAACGTAATGTTAGGGAGGATCTAGTCATATGACTAACCAGGAGCAAGGTCAGGTCCCTGAGTGAGCAAAGAGGGCATCGCTAGACCCACAAATGAGGGAGTTTTACAACCCCTGCCCCCATTCTTAACTGTTGAGTGGCCTCAGGTAGAGCTATGCACCTGAGAAGCCTCATTTCTGCCTGGTGAGTCTCAGAGAGCCTTGTCTAACAGGGTGGGCCCCATTTCTGCAGAGGGCAAAGTCTTGGCCATAACCAAACTGAAAGAGGCTCACAGACTCATTGCCACCTTTTCAAGCCCACGGGGCCCCAGGCAGAGGTAGTCAGTAGGAGGCATCCTGACTCTTCACTAGGGACTGGGAAAGGTGAGGGTTTGCTTTAGGGGTTGGCAGACTTGAGTCAGTAGGGGCAGGAGCCCCAGGCTCTGATAGACACCAAGGTGAGGATGCTGAGTGATGACCTAAAGACCATTAACTTAAGAATACTGTGATCGCATAGAATCGCGTTCTTGCTGTCAGTGCCCAGAACCTCAGGTGGCCATGGCCGGATATGATGCGTCTGAACTTCCACTTTGGAACACCGGACCTCGACCAGTGCGGGCCGCGTTTGTTCTGTCAAGGAATGGTTTACTTCCCAGGAGTTCTTTGAAGTCAAGGTGAGGACCTGAATGTAAAATGAAGGAACCTCTCTTCCTGTAACAAAGGTGGCGCCACCAGGTACTGCCCCTGGGGTCAGAAATGTAATGTCCTGGCAGGAACATTAGGCTGAGTTTTGTCTGGAAAGTCTCAGGGAGGAAGGTCTCAGTCTAAGATAGTAGCCCTGGTTCCACCGATCAAGGAAACCTAGGCCCTAACTAGAGTCAAGGGGACATCCTGAGTAGCTAATGAGGGGATCTTTACCCTGTAGATCTGACAATAGAAAGCAGTACCCCTGCCTTTGGTCCAGGGAGGCTCCAGGCAGGGGTAGTTTTATTTGGTAGTCCCTGACTACTGCCGCCCCACCCCCATCCACCATCACGCTTGCGCACTCTCGCTCTGTCATGCGCGTGCACACACGCATGCGCACACACCCGCACTCTGTCTCCCAGAGCTCCAAGAAGTAAGGGTTTTATTTGGAGTTTGGTGAACTGAATTTAGTAGAAGGAGGAATCCCAGGCTCTGATACCAAAGTGAAGATCCTTAGTCAGGACCTAGGGATCACCGACTCCAGTACACGGGCATCCTACAGAGCCCTGCCCCTGCTTTCAGCCCTTGGACACCCTGAGCACTTGTGGCCGGTTATGACTTATCCTTACTTCTGCTCCAGAGTTTCCAGGAAGTGAAGTCATGGGCTCGGGGTGGAGGTGGCGAGGCCACTGGCCAGTTGAGGGTGGATTCTCAGGACTAGCCTGGAGCCAAGGTGAGAACCTTGAGTAGGGACTGAGGGGACCATCCTGACCCATAACACAGGGCATTCCACTAGGTCCCTCTGCTACTCTGGCCCTGGAAGGCCTGGCAGACTTGTCAGGCCTTCTGCCTGGAAACTCTGAAATAAGGAGGGCCTTTGTCTAAAGGAGTAGCCTGGGTCTTGCAGACGGAGGATACTAGGCCCTAACTTCAGTGAAAGTGAGGTCCCTGAGTGCTAATGAGGGGACCTCTCCCCAGTCTGGGAAAGCAGCATCCCTATAACTTATTTCTAGGAAGCTCCCGGCAAGTGTAATCCTATATGGAGGTTCCTGAATTTCCCCTCTAGACGCTCAGGGAATTGAGGGATTTGCTCTAAGGCAGGAGGCCTACATCTTACCAGTGTATTGGCGGCAGTTTTCCCAGTAGAGATGGTGATAGAAAGCCGTACTCCTGCTTTCTGCTGGCAGCAGGAGTCGTAAATCCTACCTGTAGACCTAAGGGAGGACTAAAGGGAACCCCAACTCTAAAAAGGTGGGTCTCATAAATTCGGGCCCTCCTCTGATAAAAAAAAAATGAAATCTTGCCATTTGCAACAACATGGATGGAACTAGAGTGTATTAAGCTAAGCAAGATAAGCAAGTCAGAGAGACAAATATATGATTTCACTCGTGTAATTTAAGGTACAAAACAGATGAACATAGGGAAGGGAAACAAAAATAATATAAAAACGGAGATAAACCATAAGAGACTCTTAAATACAGAGAACAATCTGAGGGTTGCTGGAGGGATTGTGGGTGGGGGGAATGGCTAAATGGGTGATGGGCATTTGGGAGGCTGCTTGTTGGGATGAGTACTGGGAGTTATATGTAAGGGATGAATCACCAAATTCTGTTCCTGAAATTATTATACTATATGTTAACTAAATTGGATGTAAATTAAAAATAAGTAATAAAATAAATAATTCAGTCCCTTCTCTCAGCCCTGGGGAAACCCTGAATGTTTGTTATGCTGAGGAAGCCCCCCTCATTTCTGTCTAGAGAGTCCCAGAGAGGTGAGGGTGTTGGACTTTCTGGCCTCACTTCTTCAGAGGGAGGAGACCCAGGGCTTGACAGCAATCAGAATGAGGATCCTGAATAAAGAGTGATGGTACCATTCATCCCTCAAAAAAGAGATGACAGAGAGCCCCCCACCCCCTTGCTAGTAGCACTGAGGAGCCCAGATGTGGAAGTCAAGTGTATGTGAACCCAGCTTTATTTTTTATGGCATCAGGTTGGTGAGAGCCTTTGTTTGACGGGGGAAACATCAGATCAGCAGAGGAAGGTGTACTAGGCCCTACCTAGAGCCAAGGTGAGGACAGTAAATCAGAACTGAGGACCCCAATGACCCCAGAGCAGATTCCCACAGAACTGTCAGCAGTGGGTAGCAGTAGTGGGCTGAGATACCCCTTTCGTTCCCCTTGAGAGATCTCAAGAAGATGAGGACCTGGGTTTGAGATGTCAGTTGAGAGCAGCACCGAGGAGGGGGCCCAGGCCCTGCCACAAGCTGTTACCACAGTCCTGAATGTGAACTGGGAGGATCCTTGTACTCCAGACCAGAGGAGATTCCGCAGGGACTGACCCTGCCCACCACTGCCCTCAGCCCCAGTCAGCACCAAGCAGGGCTGGCAGGCTGCAGCCTGAGGCTCACTTTAATGATTTCCACAGGGTTTTCAGAGGACAGGTTGGTCATAACAGGAGCCCTGTAGTTTCCTAGAGCAGTGCCCTCACAGGACTTGCAGAGGCAGCCTTGGTTAAAGCCAAGGTGGTCTCTCCCTGCTGAAGGTGCTCCTTCTCATCCTCTCTCCTCTCATGTCCAGATCACCTGCTGTCCCTGACCACAGTCATCATGCCTCGGGGACAGAAGAATAAGCTCTGTACCGGTGAGAAACGCCACCAAGCCCAAGATGGGACCCAGCGTCAGAGGGGTGCTGAGGCCACTGCGGCCAAGGAAGAAGCACTCCCCTCCTCGGCCTCTCCTCCCTTTGAGGTTCTTACTCAGAGAAATCATGCTGCTGGGTCACGTAGCGCTCTCAAGAGGCCTCAGAGGGCCCTGTCCACCACCGCTGAGTCTGCAGGTGCTTCTCGCATAAGATCACACAAAGGAGCCAACTGCCAGATTGAGAAAAAGCAAGGGTCCTCCCAGCCCCCTGTCTCCATGATGCAGCCTGCAGGAGACCCTGTAAGTGAAACAGCGAGTGTTCTGGTGCAGTTCCTGATGCATATGTATAGAATGAAGAGGCCCATTATGAAAGCTGATATGCTGAAGTTTATCAGTAAAAAGTATAAAAAGCACTTCACTGAGATCCTCAGAAGAGCCTCTTTCAGCTTGGAGGTGGTTTTTGGTGTTGATGTAAAAGAAGTCGATCCTACCAAGCATTGCTATGTCCTTGTCAGCAAAATGGAGCTTCCCAACAACGGGACTATACACCGTGGCTGGGGCTTTCCCAAGACTGGCCTCCTGATGAATCTTCTGGGCGTGATTTTCCTGCAGGGCAACTGTGCTGCTGAAGAGAAGATCTGGGAGTTCCTGAATAAAATGAAAGTCTATGCGGGGAAGAGGCACTTCATCTTCGGGGAGCCCAGGAAGCTCATCACCCAAGATTTGGTGAAGCTTAAGTACCTGGAGTACCGCCAGGTGCCTGGCAGCGACCCTCCGCGCTGTGAGTTCTTGTGGGGCCCCCGAGCCCACGCCGAGACCAGCAAGATGAAGATCCTGGAGTTTTGGGCCAAGATTAATCATACCGTCCCCAGTGCCTTCCAACCTTGGTATGAAGCGGCTTTGAGAGATGAGGAAGAGAGAGCCAAAGGCACAGTCGCGCTCCAGGCTGAGACCGACGGCTCCAGCCCGTGAATGTTCCAGGAAACGTCCAGCAGCTCCTCCCACACCTAGTGAAATCGAGGCTGATTCTTCATCTTGTGACTGAAGAGAGCAGTCACTGTTCTAAGCAGTGGAGGCCTGGGTGTGAGTGAGGGAACACAGTGTATAATCCCTCTGTGCTCCTGTTCTGTCTGGCTAATTTGGAGACTTATCAGGGTTTTGAGTTTTTGCTACTTTTCAAATGTTACTACTTTGAAATGAAATCTTATCTAGTGCTATAGTCTAAATTTATGAATTTTATTGGTCTCACTTATTGCTGTTTATCAGTTTAAGAGTTAGAGTGTTGCTGTTTCATAAAACAGACTGGGAAAATTTCCATTTTATTTAGTGTTCTGGTACAAAGTAACATGGCACTAAAATATGCATTTCCTTGAAAATGTAAAAAACTTAAGCAGTAAAATGTATGGAATCAAGAAATGGAGGAGGAGAGTAAGATGGTCTGTATTTGGCTTCTTAATTCCTTTTGCTCTGTGTTTTATAAAATTTTAAATAACAACTTGTGCTTGAAGAACGTAGAATCACACTTTAATGAATGAAACTCACTGCTCACAGGCTCATTTATTCCCCATGCATTGATGGAGCATCTGCTCTTAAAAGGCTTCATGTCAGCCCTGAGAGAGCTGACAAAAAGATCAAGACACTGACCATGAAATCATAGAGGTGAGAAGCATCTATCACATAAGGAAGAATAGTGATAGGCACTCTCAGACCCAAAGGACACATGATAAGATGGGAGAAAATGGGAGAGAGGTGGTTCCAGATGAGAACAGTTAAGTGCCAGTGCCTGAAGCAAGGCTGTGCTGGGTTTTCAGAGACTGCAGGTCCCTTGGTGGGAGGTAATTCTAAGTTAGCTGCATGCGGGACTCCAGGAGGCTGTGATCCTAGGGAGAGGGCCCAGACCCTCCCGTGGTGGGCTTCGGAATGGAAAGACTAAGCCCAGGATGGCAAACTGCCCTTAACAGTTACTTCGGGGTTGTGTGGAAACCAGAGGGAGGTCACCCTGGGCAGCCATCAAGTGTGTCCTGTGCTCTTGTGCCAGTGCGGGTGAATGCAGTGTGAAGATTTGATGTTTTATTTACAGCATTTCCCCAGAGTTTCTGAGAACGAAGAGTATTGTCATGGATGCCCAGAATCCTCTGGACTCGCACACTTTGCCCTGGGTTTGGGGAGCCAGAACACACTCCACTAAAACCTCACTCACACTGGGTTACCTTATATGGCATTTGGCAAACTCCAGGCAAGGTCTAGATTCTTGTTGGTGGGTGAATGAATGAAAGCCAGGGTGGTTTAGAAAGAAGGGCAGCTGAGGGGTGCCTGGTGGCTCAGTTGGTTAAGCTTCCAACTCGGTTTTGGCTCAGGTCATGATCTCATGGGTTTTGTGGGTTCGAGCCCTGCAATGTGCTTTGGGCTAACAGGACAGAGCCTGCTTGGGATTCTCTCTGTCTGTTTCTCTCTCTCTACTCCTCTGAAAATAAATAAATAAACTTAAAAAGGGCCTCTGAGAGGAAGGTAAGTTTTGGGGCCTTGAAACATATTTCAAGAGCTCTGTGTTGCATCTGTAAGGAAGTCTACTTTATGCCGACATTGAATGGCATACTTTAATGAGGGAGATATTACTTAGTGTTCCCTGGTAAGCACAATTTTGTCTGATAGAGTTGTCTTTGTTCCACAGCACTGCATAGTTTCCGACATCCGCTGGATTAAAAATGATTTATTGAGATTTATCATTGTAGTGGGTTGAAACTCCAGGGGGCAAATTAATCCTAGTAAGAACTGGCATCCTTTAAAGCTCAACACAGGCCACGCAATGTGCCATACCCTTCACATGCATTATGGACGTTCTACCAGTCCCCAAGACAAAGCTTATCAAACCCATTTCACAGATGAAAAGACAGCCTCCACAGAGTCTGGTATCACTGCCCAGTTTCACATAGCTGCTAAGTGACAGGGTTGGAACTAGACCCTTGGCCTGAATTAGTCTGAAGCCCACACTTCCACTCCTCCTAGCCTGAGGCTGACTTTGTGACCCTTAATTCCCCTTTTTTGTCACTACAACAAAAAGTATCTTAGGTACTAAAAAGGACTCTGTGCCCAAGATACTGGACTGGAATGTATAACCGGAGCAATTACCATATCATAATAATTGAGAAGTGTGAGTAAGGGAGACAAAGAGATAATATTCAGTGACAATAGGGTCATCTATTCAAAGTCAGAGAGCCTCAAAGATCAGGGAGGGGCTCACAAAATCATTTTGGACGGCCCCTCCCATAGAGAAAGTTACATCCATTCAAACAGAACTTAAATAAAACGCTAAGTGTGGTTGCTAAAGAAATGGGTTCAGATGTGTTTTTTTTTTCTTTGACAGCACATCTGTTCTAGGGTCTCTGCCTTGTGCCACCACTTCCTGTCTCACCTCACTCCTGGGACAGGGACCCAGTCTCTGAATGGTTTGCAATAGGTTTAAGATCGTCAAGAGTTTGCAGGGATGAGACCTTTTACAGGAAATCTTGCATCAAGAAACAGGAGCTGTAAGTGAGAGATGCTCATGCTAGGCAAAGTTGTCAGTGTAAGCATCCCCTCACTTAGTCCTCAGGGTTCTTGGGGACAGGTGAGTCCTACCATAGGAGGGTGGCCTCAGATCACTAGAGTCGCTGACACATATGAGCGTGAGGACACTGAATGAGGAATGAAGAAAGCACCCATCCAGAACAGTGCGGTCCATAGATGCCTGTCCCCTGCTGTCAGCTCTCAGGGTCCCCAAACAGCCTAAGGAGGATGTGGCTGAAACTGATTTCCGTTTAACAGGTCAAGAAGGTGAAGATCTTAACCTGAGATTGGTTGACTCAGGTCAGGGGAGGTAGAATTCCCAAGTTGTGCCAGGAGGAAGGCCAGTACTCTGAAGAGGTCAGGGACCACCAAGCCTGTCTCAGTGGAGGCCTCACAGAACCCTTCCTACTGTTATGAGAGATCCAGCCATAATTGTCATCAGAGATGGCCTCATATCCTTCTCGGGGGTAACAGAAAAGTGGGGAGATCCCAGGTCAGCAGAGAGAGGAGTCTTGAGCCTTCATAAAAGGCAGCATTAGGACACTGACTTCAAAACCTGAGTGGGAACACCATATCATAGGTGCCTGCCACAGCCATCACCTGTGGGACACCATGGCACGTGGCCATATAAGGTCTAAGCCTTTCTCTGAGGAAATGTCCTCAGATCAAGAAAGAGAGGAACCTCAGGGCCTGCCAGGAGTCAGATCAAGGAAACTGAGTGAGGATGGATGGGACCACCCATCCCAAAATACACAGGAAAACAAGCAGTGTGGCCCTGACCTTGCACCCCAGACTTAAATGCCCAGGGCAGGGTAGCAAGCTGAGTGCCCCCGGCATCACTCGTTTTTAAAAAATCGACCTCATTTTTTAGAGCAATTTTACTTTCACAGCAAAACTGAGCATAAAGTACAGAGAAATCCCATGTACCCTCTTCCCTGATACACACTCCCCTACTTCCCACATCCTGCGCCAGAGTGCTGCATGTGCTAACAGTCTCTGAACTTAAATCGACACGTCATTAGCCTGGCAAAGCCCATAGTTATATTAGGCTTTGGTCTTGCTGTTGTACATTCTGTCTGGTTTCACAAATGTAGGAGGACTTTTATCCACCATTATAGTACACAGAGTAATTTTGCTGCCTTAAAATCCTCTGTGTTCTACCTGTTCATCCCCCACCCATACCCCTGGCAACCACTGGTCTTTCTACTTTTCCTTCAGTTTTGCCTTTTCCAGAATGTCCTATAGTCAGAATCATGCTGTATGTAGCCTTTTCAGATTGGCTTCTTTCACTGAGTAATACATCTCAGGTTTTTCCCTTACTGTGGTTTAATTAGCTCATTTGTTTTTAGCACTGAACAGTATAGGCATACCTCAAAGATACACGGGTTTGGTTCCAGACCACAGCAATAGAGTGAATATCACAATAAAGTGAGTCAAAAATGAATGCTCCAGTTTCCCAGTGCAAATGAAAGTTATGTTTATACTCTACCATGGTCTATTAAGTGTGGTATAGTACTGTGTCTAAACAAAAAACAACATACACACATTAATTTAAAAGTACTTCATTGCTACAAAGTGTTAGTCATCCTCTGAGCTTTTCAGAAAATCATCTCTGCTGGTAGAGGGCCTTGCCTCGATGTTGAGGGCTGCCAACTGATCAAGGTGGTGGTTGCTGAAGGTTGGGGTGGTTTTGGCAATTTTTTTTAATAAGGCAGTACTGAAGTTCGCTGCCTTGATCGACTCTTCCTTGCACAAATAATTTCTCTGTAGCGTGTGATGCTGTTTGATAGTTGTTTGTTTACCCACCCGAGAACTTCTTTCACATTGGAGCCAATCATCTCAAACTCTGCTGTTGCTTTATCAGCTAGGTTTATGTAATATTCTAAATCCTTTGTTGTCATTTGAACAGTCTCTCAAGCATTTTCACCATGAGTAGTTTTTATCTCAAGAAACTGCTTTTTTTTTGGGAGGAGGGGGAAGGGCTCATCCATTAGAAGCACCTCCTCGTCCATTACACTCCTCATCTCTTTTATCATGAGACTGCAACAATGCAGTCCCATCTTTAGGCTCCAATCGTAATTCTAGTTCTCTTGCTAATTCCAGCTCTCTATGCTCATTTAGTAAATGAGCTTCAACTTCACGTCTCCAGCTGCATTAGCCCCTGACAAGAGAGTCAGCCTTAGAAGCTTTGAAGCCAGGCTTTGACTTCTCCCATCTAGCTATGAAATTCCTACATGGCATCCTCTCCCAGTATAAAGCTGTTTGATTTACAATGAAAATCTGCTGTTTAGTGCAGGCACCTTCATGAATGGTCTTGGCTAGATCTGGGTGACGTGCTGCAGCTTCTCCATCAGTGCTTGCTGCTTCACTTTGCGCGCTGATGTTAGGGGAAAAACTTTTTCCTTAAACCTCATGAAGCAACCTCTGCTGGCTTCAAAGTTTTCTTACACGGCTCCCTCACCTCTCTCTGCCTTCATAGAATTGAGAGTTAGTGCCTTGCTCTGGATTAGGCTTTGGCTTAAAAGAATGTTGGGGCTGGTTTTGAACTTCTATCCAGACCACTCAAACTTTCTCCATATCAGCAAGAAGGCTGTTTTGCTTTCTTATCATTTGTGTGTTCACTGAAGGAGCACTTTCACTTTCTTTCAAGAACATTTACTTTGCTT